ATGCTTCCAGTCTTTTTTCGTTTTTAGGAAATAAAAAGTTCATTAAAATCAAAAGGGAATATGGGAAGGTGTGCTGAGGAAATAAATGTAGAGAAAATGAACCCCTTCATGAGAGGCTGAGTGAGGACCACTCATCCAACCAGAAAGTTCCTAGTGAAGAGTCCTTGTTTTCCTGATACCAAAATAAAGATCAAACCATTTGCATAATCTTATTGGCAAAATACTTGGAGAAATCCCAGCTATGTGTAATCCATTATTTATCTACTTTGTACTCTTCTTCCTACCCCCGGTTTACCTTTTTTGTTGTTGTTATTGTTGCCAAAGATAACTTCAAAGAAATAACTAAATTTTCCCAGTTGTGCTTTCAAGTTGGTTTTCTACAAGAAAAAGGTGCTTACAGGAAAGCAAATTGTATCTGCTTTTAACAGCTTATCGTAGCTGTTAAGCTCTGCTGTTCGCTAATTCCTGTAGAACAGAGTGGACTAATGTTAGTAATATTTGAAGGCATCTTTGTATATATTTTATATCTATAATATAGACAAGAGTGATTCTATCTTAACTCTTGTTGAAAGTTTCGGAAACAGAGATCTCTGGCCTGTTGAGTCATTGAATTCAGTTCGTAATTACTAGGTGGCCATCTTGGACATCCGAATGGGTTGAAATGGTAATTTAGGTTGAAAAAGTACAATTCGACATGGAAATGTGGACTGTCTGTGGTTGTATTGCAGCCAGGAAGGTGACACTGGAGTTAGATGCCGATGAAGAAACAGTCAGTGGAATTTGGCAGGGAGGCAGGCAGCATGGGACTGATTTCCCACTTTGAAGTTGAGATGAATTTCACTTTGCTTGGATTTGTGCTCCTGTGTCAGAGGACAGCTCTGTGGCCCTTGAAGATATCCTAGCAAGTCATGTGTCCGCTGGTGGGAGAAACCACAGCAGGAAGAATAAAAGGGGTTCTTTTATTAATAATGAAGATGTTAATTAAAAATTCAACATTTCCAATTGAATGTAAAATTGTAAATCTTCAGGATTAAAACTCCAAAGATAATTATTCAATTTTAAATAGTAATTTTACTCCTTTTATAAGAGAGAGACCTCTCATCTCCACCAGTTGACCAAATATACTTCAAAAGCCATTAAGGACTATGGCAAAAAGCAGGCAATTTGTGCATGTTATTTAAGCCTCGAGCACAGTTCAAGAGGCAGCAGATCCCGAACTGTCCTGACAGATGAAACAGGCCTGTGCAAAGTCACTGCCACCCAGAAGTGGAGGGGCATTAATTATTAAAGTTAAGACACGGCAGGAAGTCACTAGTAGCAAAAGGATTCAGTCACCTCTCAGAGTTCTCAAGGAGGGGAAGGGTATTCGTCAAGTCCTGCCAGACTCTGCTGCCCGAGACTGTGATAAATTACTTAACGTATCTGAATCTTGGTAGGAAGGAGCCCAAACATGATAGCTGTAGAGAACTATAGATGGCCACATCTGTGTATCACACATTTGAAAAGAATATTCTATCACGAGGAGCAGAACACAAGCAATGCTGCTGTCTGTTATTTGAAAATAACTAGCTGAGAAATGGTCTTATGTCAGATGTCTGAAAAATACTATTTGCCTTGTGCCTGTCAAAGTACTTAGAGCTTTATATGTGTTATGTCATCTCACCAAATACCAAATAACAGCAGTTGTTGGTGATACCTTCTGCCCTGCTTTATAATGGAGAGTCAAAGCTCAAGAAAGTTCAAAGAAAAACTCACCGTGGCATCATGCAACTAGTGGAATGTGGATTTGAATCGGGTTATTTGACTCCAAAGCCAGCCTTTAACTCCCCTGTTCCATATTACACTATGCATGATTGTTTTTTATCCTATTATTTTAATGCAGACAGGAAGTCACAAGAAGGCCACTGTTAGGAATTAGACAAGCAGGAATGTAGCTCAGCTCATCAGTAAGAAGCCTATGGAAGTAAGGTTCTACAGGAAGTTAGATGGTCAGAATGAAGCAAAAATAAACTAGGGTAAGTGGTCAGTTTCCTTTCAGAAAGAAAGAAAGAGTAATTTCCAGTAGGGTGGCACACCTGGCATTCCAGCTCCTCTGGAGGCCGAGGCCCAACAGCCACTCTTAAGAATGTTGGCAGATTTGGTGACCAGCTGACTTTGAAAACTGTCCCACTATAAAAATCTGAAGTATTTATTTTGGAAACAGAGAACTCAGGAGCAGGTGTATACAAGTTGGGGGAGTTTTAGATCTGAAAACCTTTCAATAATAGAACTTGGCAAATTGAAATTATTAAATAACCCCGAAAACCCTTAGCCCAGCGATGTTCATAGTGCAAGTAAACAAGATGAAAGGCTCAGAGAAACCTATAAAACTCACAGGGTAAGGGGTCAAGGTGGAAGGAGGGCGAAGGTGAACCAAAACTCACTAGTTCAGCCGCAGCACCTTTCTTTTTTTTTCCCTGAATGAGAATGTAAGGGGCCGCCCTCGGCCCACGCTCAGGTTGGTCTCAGCTGGCTTCTTACTGGCATGAACCACACCTTCAGAGCCTCCCAGGTGCTTCATTCCTGGAAATGTAGAAAGTGCCCCTCACCCACACCTGGCAGAAGCAGGGATGAGTAATGTGGGAGGCCCCAAGCTCCAGCATGCCCTTTGGCTCTTTGCACCATGTCCCAAATGCTGGCTAATGAGGACAGGCCCTTGTCACAGCAGCCCCGGTGCCCTCCTACAGCACACCCTCCCTTACCCCACCTGCCCCCATGAGCTAAAGCAGTGTCGTGTAGCTCTGGCGCAATAAAAATATTTTCAGTGAGCACACATTCCTTTCAGCTACTGATCTCAGTGGGTTTCTGTTGCATTCACACTCTTTGCCCCGTAGCTGTGGTGTTGGGAAACAAATGAATGCACTTACCTTACAACATAGACGCAGGTGGAATGCAGGGGCAAAGTGCATAGCCCTGGACCCCAGGTGTCTGGGTTCAAATCCTGACTCACCCCATTTCTTCGTGGGTAGCCAGCAGCACTTGCACTTCTAACTCGTCTGTAAAATGGGCTAATTCCTATGCCATTGAGCAGGGTCATTGAGCAGATGAAATGCAAGCAAGCCTGGGACATGGCCAGCATAGCCCTGCCACATAGTGGACAGTAAACTATAGCTGCTATTGATGTCCTTGGTTTGATGCTGGAGAGGTTTCATTTTGATATCACGTTTGGCAAATGTTAGATCCTGGCCAGTTGGAACTTTATGCCTAGCTGTATTTAACAATTATCCCACAGACATGGATGGATATTGGTTCCACTTTCACAGAGTGGCATCTCTGAGGAGGGTTGTATTTTTATTAGGAAGAATAGGAGATGTAGAAATGTCTTTTGATTAGTGTTTTGTGAATCCTGTCTTTTCTGGCATATTCAGAATTTCTCATATTGAGATTTGCCTGTTACTGGAAAATATTAATTCCAGTGACAATTGGAGGAAGATATCCCAGGGAGGAGGCCCCCCAAACAGTGAGCCAGGCAGAGCAACACCTGAGCATGTGTGATTTCTCCTACCGCCACCCACCCAGGTATCCCTGAGATGCCAGGCACATTGGCCAGCATGGTCAGTCGCAGTCCTCCAGTGAGTGCTTGCTCTGAAAGTGAGTCTAACCACTGCCTGCTGTAAACTGGCCAGATGTGTGTGTTCACTGTTTCAGGAGTGGGATACTCAGTGATGCAACACCTGTGTCTCCAGGAGTTCTCCTGGCCCAGTGACACCCACATTCAAGGTGTCATGTCTTGGGAGAAACTGTACTGATGAGAAAAAGTTCCTATTCCTGGTGTAAATTGTCCTCTTCAGGGAATAGCTGCACAGACATGAGGTCTTCCAAAACTAGGCCTTGGGTTTTCTCTGTAGAGCTTTCCAGAATATGCCAGGCAGAGGTGGGAGGCAGGTGATCCTAGTTTGTACATTTCCCTTCCATCTCACTTGTGAAACCAGCACTCACTCTCATGGATTTCCAAGTATGTATTATTGTAAAATTCAGTTGTTTCCATCTTCCCCTGGGCAACTTTCCCTCAGTGACTCTGGGTGTTAAGCTCACAACGTAAGTCAAACGCCTAGAAACCAAGTATCTGTGTACAGATAGATTCTAGCTTCTTCACTCTGTGTTTATGCCTCCTGTGCGCCCGTGGAGAGCATGGATATGTGTGGGAGTGAGAAACCCTCTGTGGGAGCAGAGATCACAACCAGAGTTTATGAAGGGGATAGACACGTTGCGAGGAAGCCAGTAAATACCGTACTCGTGAAGGAAAGAAAAGATTGACGCTAAGAGAAACCAAGAGAACTGAGTGGAGTGAAGATCAGGGGGACTCTCTGAGAAGGTGATGTTTAAGCCATTATTGAAGAAGGCAAAATAATCAAGAGGGGAGGTTGGGTTAAGAGCATCTGAGGAGGAGCGAGGCCAGGAAGTGAACCCCGAGGCAGGGCTGTGCACCTTGTTCTATAAACTGCGACCAGTGACGGGGCACAAGGGAGGAAGAGAAAGCAGGGACGTGATTCCCAGGCCTGGGGTTTGTTATTCTAGTCCTAGTGGATGCTGAAGCCGAAAGTGGGATATTGACAATACAAGTTGTTCCTAAAAGATCTCTCCTCAAAGGTCCACTGGGTGCCAGGAGGATCTGAAGAAGGTGGGGACTGGAGAGAGGAAGCCACAGGGAGCCACTGCATTGCTGGGAGGAGAGAGAGGGTGACAGGAAGTGGGACTGGGCTGCAGACTTGGGGAGTGGATAGCATGGACAGGGCATGCTCCAGCAGACGGACAGGGCAGGCGGGGGACCGAGGGAGCCTCAAATGCACTTTCAAAGCCAGTCCCCACCTACTTTCCCTGGGCTTCCCCACTGGGCTGTGTGTTCACACAGGTCAGATCTCTCCTTTTCACCCAGCTGATTTTAGTAAAGCTCAGGGCCAGGGCACTCTTGATTCTGAAGGCTTTGTCTGGACTCTGAGAAGTCACTGTTTGTTTTACAGCCTACCAGGACCTCCTCTGATAGTATTTATTCTAGACCTGGATCCAGCATCCCTGGCTCACCAGGCCACACCATCTATGTGAGTATCTACTTCTGGAAGGGAAGGTAGGTGTGAGAACTGGAATAGCCACTCTGATAATCTAAAACAGAAGCTAATTCAAAATGATTTCTAATTGTTATGGAATCTGGTTTTCATTTTTGAGTATCAGTTGTCTCAATCATGTATTTTTTCAGGTAATTCAGTTTATAGATGATCATCTCATCAAAAGATAACCTCAAAATACAGTAGTATGAAGCAGGGCTTACATTACTGTACCTAATTACACTAGAGACCTGGGGATTCACTATACATTTATAAGGCTACTACTGAGTGTTCTTAAATTCTGACATAAAGGTATTTGAATACTTAATTTATTAAATATGATGCGGTTCTTGTTTTTAGCCATCTGGGAGGATTTTTTTTGACCATCTGTTTGAGATTTTTTTTCCTTCATTATAATTTAAGAAAGTATCCTTAAGGTTTACACATTTCTCTAGTTAATGAACTCTACACATACTTTTCCTTAAGCTTTTGATAATTTAAAAAAAATAATGGATATGTGATATAAATTGGCAGTTTTATGAAGAGTATAAGCATAATGTTTTGGTTTGTTTTAAAGGTCTTCACACTTTAAACAAGACGTTAAAAGCACTGACATAGTTTCTCGAAGAAATAAAGCTACAGAGTAACTTTTCTCTCTGTTCAACTTTACCAGGCAAAAGTAGACAATGAAATTCTGGATTACAAGGATTTAGCAGCCATTCCCAAGGTCAAGGCAATCTATGACATTGAACGTCCAGATCTTATTACCTATGAACCTTTCTACACTTCAGGCTACGATGACAAACAGGAGAGGCAGAGCCTTGGAGAGGTTGGTAATACATTTCTAGTGGTTGTGAGGTGTGGAACAGCCACTTTCTTTTTAGTCCTGGGTATAAGAACTACCATTTAGAGTTTAAACCAGTCTTTCGATTGTCTACTACTTGGAGATTTCTATAGCAGGTTCTTTGAAATATTCAAAATCCTATCACATGCTTGCAGCCATAGGGAGATTTTTAAAAGGTGGGAGGGTCGACTCACTGCACACAAAACAGCAGTGAAGGCTCAGTCAGGTTGTGGGATGACTGAGCCAGGTGCTGGGGTGAATGCTGATGTTGACAGGGGAGGGTAAGGGGGAGAGGCTTCTGGGGTCTTGGTCTTGACGTAAGTTGGAAGTAGATTCATGGGGATCATGGGGAGAAAGAACATACCCCCTAAATATTGGTAGCTGCGGTCTTTAGCAGTTCACTGGAGTTAGAGTGTTCAAGAAAAGAAAAAGTAGAGACAACTGGCTAATACAGCCCGGTATGGGAGCCAGGGTTACAGAATAAACGACCTGGCTTAACGCAGGGCTCACCATACTTGTAAATACACAGCAGGTGGCAGCTACTGTGGTTGTTACTGTCTCTTGCGGCTTCTTAGTGCCCCACCAGCAGACCCCTCCCACTGCTGGACAAGAGCTCCTCTGGCCCTGGGCTCCCCTCCCTGGCCCATGCCAAGTTGGGGATTCCCCACTGTTAACTCCTACCCAGGTCTCTTGGGCTCTGGTCTGTTTCTTCTGTCTATTGGGCCCACTCTCATTTCTTCTTCTTTTACTTTTTTACTCTTGTGATGCTGAGGCTTGACCCCAGAGCCTCGAGCCGACTAAGTACATGCTCTACTACATACCCCAGCCCCCTCTTTCATTTTTAAATTAGAATCATCTCTAGACTGATTCAGATCCGTTCTGAGAGGTGTTACCCAAGTAGTGGATTCTACTCAGTCATTCAGCTGAGGTTAAACCCAAATGTCACTGTGTTCTCAGGCTTAAATGAGATAAAGAACAGGCGTGGAAATGTGGTGAATCTGTTCATTCATTATTAGCTATATACATATATTATCCATTGACTTATGATTATCTTTATTTATATTTCTATAGTATTCCTTTTATTTATTTATTTTTAAATCTGGGTTTTGTTCAGGAGCATAGCTCTGGGAAGTGAGATCCATTTTTGTGTGGTGCCACCTAGTGATAGCTCTGCTATACTGCCTCTGCAGCAGCTCTCAAATGCAGGCTGATTGGTCTTAGCTGATCCGTGAGCCCTGGTCAGCAGAGCTTCCGAAACAGAGTACTTAGGGGCTGGTTTACTAATGTGCAAGTCATATAGCCAAGGCGGAGCTGAGTTTATTTATGATGTTACAGACTCGTGTTTGTGTGTGCTTTCCAATGGCTCCATTTAAGGTAGTAAAACATCACTCAAGAGTTTGGGCTTTGAATTGAAATTTTCAGCATTGATAAACCAGACTGATATTTACCAACCATATGACTCTGGGGAAATTATATACATCAGTCTCATCTGTGAACTCAAGGTAGAGAGCAATAATACTACCGCCAAAGGTTTTATAGGGCTCTGTGAGATCTTCAGAGAACAGTACTTGACACATGTTAACAAAATGCTCAGAAATGCTGGCCACTCTCATAATCAGCACTGTTACAGGCTACCCACTTGGGACCCCTCTGGCCCTCAGGAGCTTTCCTATCAATAAATATCTTCCTACTTTAAAAAAACATTATTACAGTCATAATCTGAAACGGTGACCTTTGGTTTTCTTGATGCGTAATCAGTGTATCTTTGGAGCAGAAATCAGACATATTAGTGAACTCAATCTGCAACATGTAGATCTTGCATCAAAGTAAACACTATAAACTATCCTACTACTGTATTTATTCCGTTAGGTAGTGATCCCTCTTTTGTAGAATCCATGTATTGCCATTTTAGAGACACAGGAGGAGTAAACTTAAAGTTCTGGGTTGCCATCCAAGCCATCAGAAGGCTTGAGTGGGCTGGACCCAGAAGGGGCAGAGCAGGGGCAGAGCTGGCTCCTGGCCTCAGCGGGGCCCCCTCGTGGGCAGAGACACCCTAGAGACAGGCCATTGCAGTGCCACGTGGGAAACAGTAAATTCTATAGGGAGCCAGTGCCATGATGAAAAATGAAGCAAAGTAAGAAGAAAGCCTGCTGGAGTAGGGTTGCTCCTTTAGATAGGAGAGTCACAGAAAGCACTATGTGAAGGCGAGTTTGAGCGGAGACCTCACTGAAGATGGGGCAGGAGCCCTGAAGGTGTCTAAATGAAGTGGTGGGCTGCAGAGGAGACAGCAAGTGCAAAGGCCCTGAGGTGACATAGGGCTTGGCCTGTGTGCCTGGAAAGATGGAGGTGGCGAGGTGTGTGAAGGTGAGGCAGCCATGATGGGCTACTAGGTGTGCACCATCACGGCTGGCATGTAGACTGTTCCAGGGAGAGCTGTGCTTACAGTTTAGCAGCCATGTTTACAAGATCCCATGTCTTTGTAGATGCTGAAACTCATAGCAGTGAACCCAGCATAGTCTGATTATCTCGGGGAAAGCGGTTCCAGTTTATCTGGCCCGGTCCCTAAGGCATCCATATATTTATTAAATTAACATTGTTAATATTATTCACTAAAGCTGTGGTTCTCAGGCAGAAGTGTGCACCAGAACCTCCAGGAACTGCGGGGCATTAGCGTCAGCCCGCTACACACGGCATCTTGGGACAAGGACAGGGACCAGCAGGGAAGCCGCCACGTATGTGTAGGGTGCTTCCGGCTGATTCAGGGATCAGCTCTAATGAACCCGAGTGAAGCGTTAGCAAACCTTGTGACTTTGAATTCTCTTTTTCATTCCAGTCTCCAAGGACTTTGTCTCCTACTCCGTCAGCGGAAGTGAGTACCATCTTGGCCGCTTGAATTAGTGGAATCGGGGAGTTGCTTGGGCCTTGCCTAGATTGGAGTTTTTGCAAAAGAACATAGCACACCACGGAGCAGAAAAACTGTGAGGTTACAGTGGACATAGGGATCCCTTTTGTGAGGCAGGACCCTAGGACAGCAGCGAATTTCTTCCTGTAGAAGTGGTCTCCCAGTGGTCTCAGCCTGTGCTTCTGAAGTGCTGGGGAAGTGTTTGCGAGGACTGAAGCCACTGTCTGCATGGGGCTCTGCTTATCTGAAGTGGTCAACAGTGGTCCTAGTGGAATCTCTAAGTGGAACTTTTTTTTCAGTACTGGAGATTGAACCCAGATGTTCACATTGAGCTACATCCCTGGCTTTTTTTTTTTTTAATTTTGAGACAAAATCTCACTGAGTAACTAAATCTCAGCTGAGCTCAAACGTGTGATCCTCCTGTCTCAGACTGCCAGGAATGTAGTTGTGCCCCACCTATATTTACTCCGGATGGTGTAAAATATGCCTGACCTTAAGCCAAACAGCTCTCTGGGTACTCTATTATGAAACTAGACTAATCTGGGGTCTCTGTGTAATTTGAAATATTTTCATGGTTTATGGCTAAGTGCCATAAATAGTTAATTTCTATTACTACACTAAGACTTTGCAGCTGAAGTTGGGAACATTTAGATTCTCTTATTGTCCAGATTCGAGAGTGAGGCACATCCTTTGGGGACTTACTGTTTTGTCATCACATGATTTATTCTGAAGCCAATTTAAGGATAAAGCTAAAGTTCCCTAACTCCTTGTTTTCAGATTTCACAAAGCTATGATTAATGAGATTTTAATTTAGTTGTTCTTTGTGCAATCTTTCACAATCTTTTATTGCACTAGTAGAAACTTTGTAAGACAACAGATTCCTAAAATATAAAATATTCTTTGTGTTCTTCAGATTTTGATGGTTTTATATTGCTGGTTTTTTGTAATTATTACCTAATACATCCTTTTCTGGGTTGGGCATAAGCGATATACTAGTGCTACCATTAAATTTCACTGAATTATGATGTGTCATGATTTCTTAATTATTCTCCAGTTTGTTGAATGAAGTACCAGTTTTTGCCCTTATGACTAGTGGTATTATAAAAAAAACTTGGAATAAATTATTCTCCTTAAAGATCATTTTAAATTATTTTCTTGGCCTGTGTTTCCCAAGGCGAGAAGTAGAATTGCTGGCCATAAATCAGCCACCAACTCGTTCTCCGGGAGCATCTAAGGACAGTGTCACCAGATCAGTGTCCTAGGTGCCGCGGGTTGGTGGTCAGAGTAGTGGGCAAGAGCAGCATCAGGGTGCCAGTTGTGGAGCGAGCCCCGCCTGTCCCAGCCAGTGGCCTAACATGGGTCTCTGACCAGCGTGGAGCCTGTTTCTCCATCAGTGAGGAAGGGAGGCGATGCGAGGAGACCTGCCCCTCCTTGCTGCTGTCGAATCTGCTGTAGGTGGACAGTGCTCTGTGAAGCTGAAAAGCACAATATAGATGTGTTCATTGGGATTATTACCTCTTTTCCCACAGCTCTCCAGGGATTAGAACTTACTATTTTACATCTTAACATTTTAGGGCCGGAGCTTTAGCTCAGTGGTTCTGCCACCTGCCTCGCAAGCGCAAGGTCCCGAGTTTGATCCCCGGTACCAAAAAAAAAAAAAAAAAATTCATTACAAGGACTGCAAACCCAAAATACATTAGCCACCGAATGCTGATGAGTGTGTGTATTTATAAAATAGTCCCCCAGTAAAAACAAACAGGTAGACAGGACAGGTTCTTAGCAGTGTTTGTGGACTAGGTCTCCTTGGGAAGTGCTACAGGTCTGATGTGTTTTGTGCTCACAGCTTCTCATACCTTATTCCCAGGGCTACCAGGATGTTCGGGATCGGGTGATCCACCGGTCCACCAGCCAGGGCTCCATCAACTCCCCTGTCTACAGCCGTCACAGCTACACTCCTACCACGTCACGCTCGCCCCAGCATTTCCACAGACCTGGTAAGAGGCACTCTCCCGGGATCCACTCCGCATAAGAAGCTTTCTCTGTGCGACTCCCCCCAACCATTGGTAGCCTATTGATAAATCTGACCGCTAGATATTTCTACACCTCTCCTGGAACAAAATGAAAACTGGTATCCATTTGTATTTTGTATTGTATCTTTTCTTGAAATATCGGTCCCATTGTGGCTACTTTCATTTTGATTTATTAAATTGTATTTAAAAAGTGAGGTACTGGAAGCAAAGGAGATTTTTTTTTTTCCTTAAAGACCATCCCATCACTTTGAGACTGAAAATGATTTCCAAAAGAAAAAAGTTTATGTCCTTTTTAGGCAGATCAGTATCATCGAAAATCCAATGTTAGCCATTTGTTAACCAGTTCATAACGCCCATATCCAGATGCATACATGTGTTACTAACCATGCTCAGTTAGGGACTTCTAGAAGGAGGACTCTAGAAGGGTTGTACTGGGTAACTTTGGAGATAACTTCCAACCCCAGGATTCTGGACTCAGGCTTGGAAAACAAAAACCTCAGGGAGGTGCTCTGTGGAGAATGTGACACTGTAGGAGACCTTTATCTGCAGAGAATTTCGCTCCTGTGACCCTTAGTGGGGTCACAAGTGTGTGGCAGATGAATGGAGAACCCAGCACAGATCCAGAATTTCTCCAGAAATAGTCATAGGGGAGATTTTGGCCTCTACACAAACTTGGTAATGATATACATCCCTGAAGGCTTCATTTTGAGCTCCTTGCTTCTGGCCTGTTTGATGAGAACAGATTCATTCGGTGCTAACTTTTCAATAAAATGTACAAGAAATAAAACAGAAGCAAATTAACAATGTAAAAAAAAAGGCTACAATGCTGTCCTTAAAGATAAGGATTTAACAGAAAAGATTGAAAATAATGTACCCTTGGGTAATGTATCGATTTCTCCAGGTGTACATTGTATATATGTTAATTAGTATCTATTGGATTATATCAAATGAAAGTTTTCAGGATATCTCCTTCTTTTTAATGCACAGCTATGCCTATTTGATTCATTCCCTGGACGTGGGTCTCAATTTAGGCCATCATCTGCCTGGGTGATGGAAATGCTTTATGCAGCCACTGCATGTATGTCCACCTGCCGTGATCACTGAGACCCCAGCACCAAGAGCGGCAGGGCCTGCAGGGTCTCTCTCCCTGAGAGCCCTGAACACAAGAGGGGTGGCTGGCCGGCCGGCCACACTGGTTCTCCTAAAAGCTCCTGTCCTTAGCAGTAAGAAGCTTTCATCCTTCCCAATCATGCTTCTGTTGCCAGGAGTCTAGAACATTCTCCTTTCTCATTCATCTTCCAGATATGCATGACACCAGGTGGTAGGCTTTCTAATAATTTTTGAGGTCTACCCTTCCAAAGAGAAACTCTTGTCCTACTTGTGATCCATGTACAGTACCCCAAAGTGTTGACCTCTAACTGCTGGATACCAGATGATGATTTCCATCCCCTTGAGCCTGAGTTCCATTTTTTTTTGATGGTCCTTCCCTCTGAGATGCTGAGTTTTCCATCCCCAGCATTTCCATGCACAGCCGTTAGGACCAAACGTAGCTTTGTCACTTGAGGAATACAAAAGGATTTTTCTTCTATGTAGGTGAAATAAAATGATTTCCAAAGGGATAGGTATAGTCTGGGGCCAGGGATTTAGCTCAGTGGTTCCACCACCTGCCTCGCAAGCGCAAGGACCCGAGTTGGATCCCTGGTACCAAAAAAATAAATAAATACAATAAAAATAGTCTGATCCTTTCATGTGGGTTCTTCTTTTCAAGTTTCTTAAAGTGACTGTCATTCTTTTTTACATGCATGTCAGAGGGTTCCGTTTTGTTAGGTGCTTTTTTAGAAACGGCTTTTGTTGAGTCTGCGTGATGTGTCGTCCTGCCAGAGAATGTCCTGAGAACCATTCCTCCTCGTCACAGCCGTTTATTCTCAGAGGCTGACTCTGTCCACCCGACCCTATCTGCAGGTTCTCCCCACTTGGCCTGATTGTCCGCAGGTGCATCTGTAACCCTTTTTCCTTTCTCCTTTTTCCGATTCCTGATTAACACTCTTTTATTTTCCTCCCTCGGAACAATGCCACTCTCCCTGCTCCTGTGTTAATTTCTGTTCTTCTTTTGTGTTTCCCCTCGCCCTGCCCGATTCCTTGCCGCGCAGAGCTGTTGTCTTCTGGTGTGCAGAGGCTGTCTCACCTGCGCACCAGCAGCTTCAGCTCCACCCACAGTGACTCCCGCCCCAACCCCCCCTTCAGACACCACTTCCTCCCCCACCTCAAAGGTAAGGAGGCAGGCGCACCTGTAGTGGAGATTTATTAGCACCCTGGCAAGGCTAATAAGGTGTATCTCCAAGAGTTAGTGCCACCGAGCTTCTGACCCATCAGCATGCCTGTGTGTGTCATGACTGTACCGAAAGGTGACCTTAGAACTGGCATAGTATCTTGCATTCCGAAGGATATGTCATTTCTAAGGGTTCTAGATGAAGAAACAGGAAGTATATTTGACTGTAAGTTTATCATCCCCCACTTAGGAAAAAAGTATGTATTATTATTTTGTTTTTGTATCAAAAGCAAAATGTTATATACTCGGTGCATTTTCTGGGTTTAATACATCTCAGCAAAGCACAGGAGTATTTATCATGAATATCCAAAGGTCATCTTCGTGGTGATAAGCCATTTTACTATAGTAACATGTTTGGGCAGCATAAAAATGATCTGTGACAACATAACTCAAATTTCTCTCTTTGCACCAACTCTCAGAGTACTTCAATTTGTCCTAATTTCCATCTGATGGAGAAGAGAGGCTTTGCCTTCTGTTTTCTGTTCCTGCCTCACATTGCTGCCCCATTCCCTTTATGGCATTTCTGTTGTTTTCTTCATTGCTGCTTATGCTTCTGTAGTTGTTCTCAGTTGGGGCCCTCCGCAGGTTGGGGAGCCCAGAAGCTATGCAGGGGCCACAATTTAAGTATGTGCTCCCAGAGGGACACCATCTTGTTCCTTAGTCTTGATTTGAACCAAATTAACCAACAGAAATAGTAAGAGGATGCAAGCACAGATGTTACCGTGGATGTCAGAGCAATCTTAAAGGCTGCCGGCCCTGTGTTCCGAGTGCTCCCATCACTGATGCATCGATGAAGTAGCCTAAGTGTTGGTCTAGTTACCTGAACTTTCACTATCAGTCTACCCAAGTGTCTTTCTTTTAGCTCACTTAGGTTTTTTAACAACTGAGTCCTCAAATGTAGATGCCCTGAGTTTATCAGTATGCAGTTATTTTACAGATTTGCTATTTCAGCATTTTCCATGCTTCAAAAATAATATTGCTGACATGCTTATTGAAGAACCACACCATCTGCCATTAGCACTGTTTTTGGTAGGCGCAGCGCTTTCTAAAACTCTTGACAGAGTGTATAAAGCTAGTTGCTAATTAGTATTTTGGGAAAAAATTTTATCATGTAAATGTCAAGATGATACTTTTGAGAATGCTTATAAACCCATAAAGAAATTATTGAATGAGAGTCAGCATGTATTCTAAATACAACTTAGTATAGAAGCCCTTGGCCAAGTTAGTCTGTAGTTATTTCTAACATTCAAGAGAAAAATACATTTTTTATCGTTAAGATGTAAGCTTCCTCATTTGGTTATTATGTTTCTTCTTTCAGAATGCAGAATGAAAAGCATGATGGAGCCTATAAAGTTGTATAAAGTTTGTACAAAATGTCAGTGACTAAAATACTTCACATCTGTGACTAGCTACGGAAGAGACAGAAAGTCCTTGGACACTGGCATCTTGGATTTAAATACTGCCTGTGTCACTGGCTGGCGGCGTGACCTAGGGTTGTTATCCTTCTGAGTGTTGCTTACAGGCCGGGCGAGCCCTAGGTCCTAGGCCGTTGGGCTCTGTAAGGTGCCAGATCATGGTGTGGAGCACACCATGGTCAGTATGAGGCTCTTGAAGCAGTTTTGGTCATCATTCCATTACTCGTCATAGCGACCCTGGGAAACAGCCCCAGCAGAAAGAGCTCACACCAGAGGCCCCAGCTCATAACTGGCCATAGGCTCACCGCTAGGAAGAGGCAGCCCCTGGACCAAACCGCAGGCCTCCTCGTCCCGAGCAGTGCTTGTGCACCCTAGGTGAACCGAGGATTGAACTCAGGGCCTGTGCACTGAGCTAAATTCCCAGCCCTATTCATTTATTTATTTAGAAATAGGGTGTCGCTAGGTTGTGGTTACCAGTTGACCAAAAACTTGTGGCTGGACTCAAACTTGTGACCCTCCTGCCTTAGTCTCCCAGAGTCCTGCGATTATGTGTGTACCAATCACACTCAGCCATGAAATATAATTTTTAAAGTAGTCTTTTATTTTCCATCTCTTTTCAACGAGAAAATTGCATTCTTATTGAAGCTAGAACAAAAAAAACCTCTTCAATCATTTAAATTACAAAATCAGTTTTTTTGCTTTATTACAAAAATATCAAATGGTTATAAAAATTATAGTACCTCTGTGTGCCTACACATTGCACTGCTTAAAATGTAGATATACATTCGCTTCTATTTTCAGTCTGAATCTGAAGTTTTTGACACAAATATTATGAGTCAAAATTATAAATAGCACTAGGCCAAGGGGAATTAAAATGACCCTTAACTTACACTTTAAAAAAAAAAATCTTATGACCTCCCTCTCATTTTCTTTTTACTAGATATATGCCCGTATTTTGTTCATATAAAATAGTCTTCTATATATTTCAAAAACAAAATGTCATGTACATAACAGTATATGCTTCTTTTTTTTAACTGGATGAGCTTTCTGCTAACCTAAGAAATCACGGAGAATTTGTATAAAGATATTGTTTTAAAAACCTAATATATTTGAATGGATAAATGCTTATTCTTCAAAGAATCACTTCTTGGTTATTTTGAAAAGCGTATCCATTTACAAGGAAGGCCTCTCCAGCACTTGGAAATTTCAGAATGGAGGGAATTTACAGCCCTTTGAGAAACACAAACAAGAGATCTTTCAAATGGGCCAGCAGCACCCAGAATCTTCCATGGCCCAGATTTAAACTTTTCCTTTGTGTCTGGGAGCTTGACCTGCAATCATAGGGGAGTTATTTATTTAAGTGGATGTGAGCTGGGGATCTTGATTTGTAGTAGGATAACCAGCTCAGGAACCGTGTCAGGTGTCGAGAAGGAGCAGGGGCCCAGCCTCACCTCGGCAATCCAAGTACACTTCCTGGTGCTCATTTCTTCTGCATGTGGCCCGGGCCTCTGGGGCTCAGGGAGCTGAGGATGCCTGCATGGGTGCAAAGCTGAGGTGCACGTCACAGACTGTCTCTCTGCTCCATTGGCTTCCCCATTCGTTTTCTGTAGTGCCCATCTTTGTTTTGAGGTTTGTTTTTATTTGTCTAACCTTCCTTGCAGCCTCAACCTTTATTAGTGTGTCGTTGTTGGGCCTTGAGGACAACGTCATGCTGAAAGATTTGCAAAAAAAAAAATTTCACTTTATTTTGGGCTGTGTTTGTGCAATGTTTGATGAGTTTCTCTTCCTTCCTCTTTGAAATACTGCTACGCTGTCCAGGAAGTATAACTTTTATTTGTGAGTGGTGGACTACCTAGATTAAGACTCTTTGAAAGGAATGGTTGCCGTTTTGCCATAGATATGAGTTACTATGATACCAATACAAATTCAGTATTTACAAAATACATTTTAAACCTCTTTTTGAAGTTCTAGACCCTTCTGATTGCTGAAGGCCCAATAATTTGAAACCCTGTCACAAAATATTCTAGATGCTGCCATCATGAAGGCCCCTTGCAAATACATATTTATATTTTAGAATACAAGCACATAATCCTGAAAGCCAGGCAGTACTCCAACAGCTTCCACAACAGAATCATGCACCTCCATCTCTATTCAGGCTCTCATGGTACCAAGAAGAATGAAATCGAGGAAAGCATTTGAAGTCATAATTACAGTGAGAAGCCTGTAAATGACTGATCTCCCAAGTACCAAAAAAATTGTCTCTTCAGGTTAATAGGGAAAAGCTAAACATTAAAGCCAAGGAATATAACTATGGGATTAATTTCTCATTACAATAGCTAAGGTCACCAAAAACTTAGAATAACCCAACCCAAAGACCTATGTGAGGGACAAAACACTATTGTATGGTATGTACACATATATATACACATACTAGTATAGTATTTTTTTAAAGTATCTTATTCCAGGGGCCAGGGATTTAGCTCAGTGGTTTCACCGCCTGCTTTGCAAGTATGTACAAGGTCCTGAGTTTGATCCCAGGTACCCCCCCCAAAAAAAGTGTCTTATTCTAGGCTAATGAGTAACAATGGTGATGATGATGACAACGATGATAATATTGATTCCTTCCAAATGTATTTCATCCGATGCTTCATACTGTAGTTTGCCCAAGTAAGGAACTAAGCTCAAAATTTTCTGCCAGGGTGAGTTTGAAGGTTTTATCATTTAAAGATATGGTGTAGGGGCCGGGGATTTAGCTCAGTGGTACCATGTCTGCCTCAGAAGCACAAGGTCCTGAGTTCGATCCCTGGTACCCCCCGCCCCTCCAAAAGATAGGTTATGTATGTTAGAAAAGGAAAAGAGGATTCTTCTTTTTCTTTTAAAAATGCCCCCAAATTTTTCAAGCCTTTGGTATTTTAAGAGCTAACAAGTCGGTACTTAGCAACATTTTCTATTTGGAGATCTCTTCCCCACTGAGTCGCTGTGTTACATGAAAATCACATTCCACAGAATGCGAGTGTGCTGTTGAATTGCGCTTTACCTTCCAAGAGCTTTTGGGGGAAATTTTAAATGATCATAGAGTTAAATGTACTTTAAAAGATGAGTATATTAATTGTTCTTTTCTTTTTAAACAACTGGAGAGGTTGCGACTGCTAAAGATACACAACCAAAAAGAAGAGCAGCACCCAGTTGGTGAAAGCATTCAGCCAGAATTCACCCACTGGGAATTCAGGCTTTGACCTTACCTGAGAAATGATGGGCTTCTGCTGCCACCTGCAGCAGAGAATCTGATTGACAAATATTTTAATACCTGGACAAATGTCTCATTCCGACAGCCTTGAACCATTGTGTCCCATATATGCTGACATTTTTGCATGTGTGTGACACTAGCGATTAGCAAAACAGATTCAGTGGCATTTTGCCTGATCAGGTGTAGGGACGCTACAGTTAGAAGTGAAGGGCTAGGGGCAAGGAGCAATGTGGTTCAGAAGCAATAGGGGCCAGTGCAAGGACATATGAGAGTCTTCAAAAGAACAGTTAAAATAAGGCAAGAAGGGGAAACTTCTGTGCCTTCCTCTGAGAAAAGCCCCAAGAAGTATTCTGGTTTTCAATTGCGGATTCTTCTTGTTAGCAATCTCCTAATGTTTATAGGATTAGAGGATTCTTCTGAAGTGAGACAATTAAACTGGAGTTACTGCGGATGACCTAGGAGGGGAAAGCTATAAAGTGGGCACTGCTGTGGTCCTATTGCCCTAGTGTGGCATCTGGCTCCTTTTAATTAAGAGATCAGGGAGATGATGGTTAATCCTGTAGTGCTGCTTGCTAAATTAGGCCGTAAGTACCTTGTGGAATTAATTAGTTGGCCTCCTTCAATGATTCATTCACATTTACGCCGCACTTACTTAGGGCAGCCAGTAGGCTGAGCGCTGGGGAGGATGAAGGGGCCCCATTCTAGTTTAGCCGTGGGTTTAACACAGCGTTTCCTTCTAAGTGCAAGTCACAACCTTCCTGCTCCTGCTCACCTCTGCCTGTTTTTGTTATATGCATTTTTCTCAAACATGAGCCAGTTACTGCTCTTTGGGAGAGTAAGATTAAATGTGATTGCCTTTTCATAACTTAGCAGTTTTTACTTTTACACTGAGCTGCAGCCTCAACACCTCTCTCCCACCTCATTAATTTTTTATTTTGAAACAGGGTCTTGCTAAGTCCGTAAGTTGCCAGGCTGGACTTGAATCACCCTTTTGTTTCAGCCTCTCCAGGGCTGGGATTGCAATTGTGCATCACCACGCCTAGCTGTCGGTTAAGCTTTTTAGAAAATGAGCAGTTTGAGTTGCTTCATAATTTTTGGAAACTAATATTTGACTTAAATGACCAAATCAACATTATAACATATTGCTAAAGAGTCTTGAGAAGGGACGGAAGCTTCAGAATACCACCAAAAGCCTAGAATCTAAATCTGAGCTAGTAACAAATTCAGATCTCATATTTGGAATATTTTATTGGTCATTCGGTACAGATGTACTCTCTAGTTACTTAAACGTGTACATATTGAGGAATTAAAACTATTCAGCATGTTGTAGAACTCTAGCAATTGACTTCTTTCATACTTTTCTAGCCAAAGGACAGTTTGACTTGAAGAAATTGGCTAGAGCTCTCTCTGTTAATGATCTATCATTTAATTGAAATTATTAGGATTAATAAATAAATTGGACTTTTTGAAATTAGAAGCATCTGTGCTCACATTGAAAGGAAATTTCGATTCCCTACAGAATGGGAAAAAATAATTGCAAATCATATCTGATAAGACATGTATCATTACAACTTAATAGTTAAAGTAATTAGCATTATAACTCATTAACTTTTAATAGTCCCACATCTTCTGATGTGTTTTGGGGACAGGATATTTGCCCAGATGTGTGGTGGTGGAAGGAAAAATTAGAGCAGTAGCCAATCCCTTTCCACTTCGCATCAACTTCCCTTCATCCCTGCAGTTCTCCCCTGAGGTTACAAGGGCTGGTGGTCGTCCTGGGGGCCCTTGTGCCTTTTGCAGCCACATCCCTAGTTTCTCCTCCAAGAGCACAGTTCTGTCTAGCCACAGTGGCCGGGCCTGTCGCCCCCTTACCATGGCCCTGCCTCGCTGCCCTTGCTCACTATGTCCCTGCCTTCCAGAACATGGGGTTTCCTGTTCCCCGAGGAAGCTTCCTCTCTGGTGCCTGGCCCAGGGAGCTTTCCTCCCTGCATCTCATCTCCTCACGTTTTTCTTATACCTTTTGAGTAGTCGATCATATGGGTGTAGGGGTGTGTGTGTGTGTGTGTGTGTGTGAGCGAGCGCGTGCGCATGTGTGCCTGTGTGTGTCTTCAGTCTGCCTCAGTAGGTAGACCCTGAGGCCCTACAGGGTAGAGATTATATTGCAGTCACCTGTTTGTCCTCGATAGTAGCCAGTGCCCACCCACAGTGGGTGTTCAGGAAGTGTACTAGTGATAAAGCCAATAGCCCCGGTAGAGCCAGCAGTCTTGGAAGAGAAGGCGGAGGAAGCTATAAGTGGTCCCCACGTACCTGACAGAAAGGGTTCTGATGCTACTTTGTATATTTCAAAGTGAGGGAAACAGAAACTTATGCTGCATTGAAGGCGCTTTGTATTCGTAAGGGAAAGGACTGGGTGACCTGGGTGCTCCCAGACTTAGCCCTCACTAGAGAAACACGAGTCCAATAGCCAGCCTCTGCCTGGGAGCACCTGGACCTTCCGGAGTGGGGGTGCCGCATATCCCAGCCCTCTTCATGCTTGGGGGTTAATCACCTGACGGCTGATCTTGAATCAGTAGCAAGTGACTCTCCATCCCTCCCAGTGGACTTGCATCTAATCATTTGCCACTAGCTCACAGCCTTCAGCCGCATGCCATTGCAATGACACATCTGATGCTAGCTGCTTTGAACCTCAGCCCACGTGGACTCAAATCTCCCCTTTGGAAAACTAACCCTGATACCACCTTTGCAAGCCAAGTTGATAAATCGAGTGTGTTTCCTTTGCTTCTCCTCCCTGACGTACCTCCTTCCATTTGTTGTGTTGAATTTTGATTACGCTTGCTTGGTTTTCTTTATTGCTCTCTCTTCTCATTTTGTTTTCTCCATTCTTATTGGAGGCAATGAGCCATCCAGCGGCCGGAACTCCCCTCTCCCTTACCGGCCCGACAGCCGCCCTCTAACTCCAACTTACGCTCAGGCCCCTAAACATTTCCATGTTCCAGGTAGGAGCTGACACAGTCTGTCTTGGTGTCCTGTCGCCATGTAGAATGTAGCCTTGTAGCCTTGTCTTGTCTCGTCTCCATTTCTCATGCTCATTAATTGGGATGCACACAGTTGACAAACCCTAAATTGCAGGATCTGACCCATAGGGCCTTTCAAAAGAGCTGAATGTGAAGTACCAAGGTTGTGTTGAAGGTTTCCTAATTTTTGTTATTGTTTTTGCAGTGCTGGGGACCAAACCCAGGCCTTCATGCAGGCTGGGCAAATGTCCTACCACTGAACCATATCTCCAGCCCTCCAATTTTTTGAAAAGGATAGGAGAAGGAATAAAGGAGAGGAGTTGGATGGTTTGGCTTGGGTTTTTTTATTTTTTGGTTAACATTTTTTATTTATTTTAGTATCTTCTAACATAATCAGTCTGTGGTTAAGTATTCTTAATTATTGCCGTGGCAATTTAGTTATCCTAAAGATTGAACCACAGTGTCACCACATTTGTATTTCCTACTTGTCTCTAGTTTCTCTAGTGCGGACATTTTTTTCCATGGATTTTTCTTTTGAAGCAGGTGTAGCGTTGGGTCAATTGGATGGTCTTTCTGCATTTCACAGCTGACAAGCCACCTCCACTGCCCACACAGATACCTTGCAATTTAGGCTTGGCACTGCAGGCTTTGCTCCAGTAGTCACAAGCATTTGCTGTCACAGCATATATAGTAATTTGCCATCATCAGACACTGGAAAAAAAAGAAAACATCAATTGCTTACTATTTAGGGTTGGCTCAATTGGTAAGGGTGGGGTCATCAGAAGTGATGATATTATTTTTCATCAGAAGTACAGTTTTGCTTCTTTTACCTGTTGAAAGTGGCTTAATGAATTACCAACATGTTAATGTAAGTATCCATATTTGGAATCTGTATTCGTGGTTTTTTTCTTTGGCATTGCAAACTTAACCTAATAAAAACAGAGGAAAGTTTAATGACATTGGTACTGCCCTTTTTGTAAAGTTTCATTGAATCTTAAAGTCATTGTTCTACATTTGGGAGTTTTCACATGAAGAATGCCTCCATCGAGTCAGAAACCTCTTGAAACTTCTTGAGTATTTGCATTTAAAGTGAAATGGTAGCATAATTAAATGGGGTTCTCTCTGAATATAAGAATAGTAGTTAGCACCACTTTTCTTTTTCTTCCCCCCTTTAAAAAAAAAATTTGACCAATATAAGTAAGGGTTTTGTTTGAACATCCCATCAGCACACTGGGTTGGCCTTGCACATAAAAGATATTTCTGTGATTTAAAACATTTTTTAATTTGTCTACATTGCTTCCCACTGTTCTCATTAACTGAAAAGGTAAATTGAGCCACTGGTATCTACTGGGAGCTCAATTTCTAGACAGTAGCGATTTGGGGATTTTTCCCCAAACTGGTTATGCCTTCCTTACCATTTGAGTGCCTCCGCTGCTTGCATCTTTTCCTGTTTTAATCCCAGTTTCAGTGAAGTATTTGAAATAAATGGCTCATAAATAAGTCACATCTCTCTGTATGCTATGATGTATTACAAAGACTTTTCATGTCACCTGTCTATAGTAACTCACCCATTTCTGTAATCTCTTCTTCCAGTGAACTCAATCTTTGTAATACAAAAGTTAGCCTTTTGGGTTATTTTTGTTCACAAGTCTTCTGTTTGTTTGGTGTCTTGGTTGGTTTGTTGTTTCTCATCGCAGGACTGGTTCCCATAATCACACACCTTTGCTTTTCATTTCTGCAGATCAAGGGATCAACATTTACCGAAAACCACCCATCTACAAACAGCATGGTAAAACTCACTTCCCTCTGCATAGCTTTTAAGTAGCAGAGTCAGCTGGACTCTTCTTTGCTGTCTTCTGAAAGCTCACCTACTGCTGCTTTTGAGAGCCAAACTGAAGCATCCAACATAGTTTACCTTTATGGTCCAATAAGATGCAGATATTAACCTTCCTGGATAGAAAACACTTAGCTCCATTAGAAGTTTCCAGCATATTTCCAGGCCCATCAAACTGTGTATCGTTCCATTCACAGAGAAGGGAATCAGCCAATAGCCCACGAGCATCCTAACAAGACTTTATTTTTTTCTTTTTTTGCCATCAAATAATTTAACCAACCTCTAAAACAACTTTGAGCTTGCAATTAGCTTGACTAATTAAAACTAGTGAAAATGAGCCGGCTACATGGACTTAGTTGTGCCACTCCTAGCTTCTTACCAGGTGTGGAGATGTCTGCACCATGCAGTGGACAGGGCACAAGTGGACAGGTGCCTGCCCAGGTCCCTTTTCTTACCTCTGTGGCTCTGTATGGTCAGGGGCGTACATGATTTCTCTGGGCTTCAGTTTTCTCACCACTGAGGACCGTGAGTTAGATGGGTCTATCTCTGAAATCCATACAAAATGAGAAACACTGAAGTGGATTTGTAATTGTGTTCTCCTATTCTGGGAATACAGATATTTTAAATACAGTAAATCATGTTAATTTATGTAAATGACATTTTCCTCTACCATCTATAGGTATCTGGATTTGTCTCCCATAAATCTTTGTGACTAGATAGTGATTCCAGAAAATTATACAAAAATTGTGCCTGGGAATTTGAAGGCCGCCCTTAGAACTCTAGTGGATATTAACAAGTTATTAAGACAGGATGCTATGAAAAGTGAATAAAGTTGGAAATAACACAAAAAAATATTAGGGCAAACTGTAGGGAGAAAATGAAAAAGTATATATGTAATGATTCTAAAGCCATGTGTTGTTTTCTTCATTATTTTTCAAAGTTTTACATCACCTGCTTGCATTTTAAGTTTAACGTTGCTTTTGTTTTTGTTTCTGTTTTTTATGGTTTAATGTCTTCCCACATACTCATTAACATGTGAATGTTTAACTACTGACTTCACCAATTCTAATGTGTAAGTACTGTTTGAAGTCATACTTTTTAATTTATGAATAAGGTTCCCAGAGTTTGATTTAGAGATTTTAAAAAATATTAAAATAGGCCCTATCACTCTGAACAAAAATAATAAAATAATTAAGATTTAAGGAGATTGGATAATGTTACACTTTACTTGGAAGGCATTAATTGGCTTCTCTCCATGATATTTACTTTGAAGTGTTTCAGTTGTTGTAATTAATTAATAGTATCACAGCCAAAGTGGGACTTTGTAGCAAATACAGGATTGCCTATCCACACCAAATAGATGCCATGCCTCAAACTGGTGTCTGCCTTCATGCATTTGAGAAATGCTAAATTTAAATTAAATCACTTTTTTTTTTATAATGCAGACTTTAGTCTTTCCTATGTTAACATGTTTTATCTATCTCTGGCAAGGTAACTACTATCAGTTTCCTAAACTTGAGATTTTTTTTTCTCATGAGGTTAAAGACTGAGAAATACTGTCCCTGCCTTCCCAAGATTTTTCCCCCTTGTTACTGGGTCTCCTTTGTCAAGTCATGTAAGCAAATCGAGACCCAGAAGGTTACCAGAAATATTGGAAAATTGGAGCCGAAGAGTCAAAAGATCATTTCCAGATTTTAAAATAGAAGCTGAGAATGAAAAAAAAAGATACTTAAGGCATTATTAAGAAACGTTTACATATTAGTAACATCCCAAGCCAGTTTGTAAAATTAGCCAGAATCAGAGAACGACCATTTAACCTGGTTTGTTTTGTTCCAGCTGTAATTATTTAGGGCTCCAAGCCAGGGCTGCCTCCTCACAGAATAGCCGTTGAGAAGTTTGTGAACTAACGTTCATGCTAGCGTGGCTTTTGTTAATTTATAGGTGGTTGCTTTACTTGAATATACAGACCCTGGAACTATACAGTGAGGGAGGATGGTAAACATAATCACAGTGCTAAATTCCTGCAAACTGAAAGTGGGATTCCCCATTTCCATTTCTCCTAAGACACCAGGGCCTGTGTAAGGATGAAGGTGTGTGTAAGGATCCAAATGAACTGGACCAGTTTATTCATGGCTTCTGGCCCAAAGATCCAAACCCAGCCACCCCTCTAAAGGATTAATAACTGCAGTCCAGTGACATTGTGTGCTTTTAATTAAGCTCTTTAGTTTCCAATTTTTAATTCAAATTCCTAGTTACTCAAATTTTTAATTATTCAAGTTTTCTAATTCCAAGTGTATTTACTCTTGGAGACTGATTAGGAATGGACCTTCCTATGATTGTAGAAATGATCTGTATCTTTGCTGCCCAGAACAGTAGCCATTGATCTCATGTGACTGCTGAGCACCTGAAGTACAGCTAGCACCACCAAGGAATTGAATTTTGATTTTATTCATTTTTTGGTTTTATTTAATTTCATTCATTTAGATTTAAATAGACGTGTGGAGCTTTAGAACAAGTTTTTTCAGATGTAGAATGAAGCTTTGCTTCTGATCTAAAATAAGGAAATAGCTGAAGTGTTGCCCAGAAGTAACTGGCTGTCGTTCATGGTGATCAGCAGAGCTTTGTGGAGCTAGCTTTTGCCAGAGAATGAGAAAACTGTCTTTGGGGTTGTACCGCCGGTGCCTTACTGACCAGTAGCTAAGCAGCCCTGGTTCCCACCTAGATGCAGCCGCCTCGGCAGCCCAGAGCAAGTCTTCAGAAGACATCATCAAGTTTTCCAAGTTCCCAGCAGCCCAGGCGCCAGACCCCAGCGAGATACCAAAGATTGAAACAGATCACTGGCCTGGTCCCCCCTCACTGGCTGCCATAGGTAGGCACCTGATGCCGCTAAGGCAAGCGAAAGTGGCTTCGGCTGCTCAAAACGCAATGCTGAGAAACAGGAGAAAATGTGTCCTATTGTGATAACTCTTAAGCACAGATGACCAAGAGGCAGGAGAGTGATGAGAACTAATGTGGTGTTAGTGTGCGTGAAAAATGCTTCCCGGTGACAAAAGCACACCTACCCGAGCCTGTCTCTAACCAAATCCACGAGATCCAGAACTGGTCTGAGACTGATGGTGTGTGTGGACTCTTGGACCTATCACAGTAGTATCAGTAACTTTTGAACACAGCTGAGCCAAAGCCTTCTGGCAAGAGCATTTTTCCGTATAATTAGAGTCTAGTGGCTGAATTTACCGAGTGTCCGTGGAAGTGTGACTTCTTTCAGTTAAATTTGTTTTAGGCTGGGTAGTCACAGTTCTCTTAACAAGCAGTATTAACACGGGAATACTTTGACTTTCATGCAAAATCACCTTCTCCATTACTAAGAAGGGCTATTGTGGAGAGTGAGTATAATAAAATATGACTTGTGTGAAGTTACATGATTTTACATCTATCATTTCCACGAGTCCTGTGCTAAAATGTCACATTGGAGCTGTTTCATTCTTTGCTTTGTGCTTTCCAGTTGTGTCTGTGTCTTTACTGTTTTGTCAATAGTAAAATCACTCAGCCTGAAAAAGAAATATTAATAAATACAGAAGCTAATATTGGACTGAAACTTTAGTGAGTTAGCCTTTTAAAAAAAAGTATTTTTCACATTTTTGTTGATACTTAAAAGGCCTTCAATTTTCCAAAACTTTCTAATCATCTGAATCAGGCTATTTTTTACCACATTATTCTTGGGATAACTTTTATAGGCAATATAAGTAGATTTTAAAACAATATTTATAGAAATAGTTCCAGGATAATTTGCTTAGTTTGTTATTCCCAAGTATTCTGTAATTTTGTTGATGTGATTTATCTAATTCATGCAAACTTGGATCTATTAATTTTTATTTGTGTAAACTAAAGAAAGAAAATTCACATTCACATTTATAATTTTAAGAACTAAGAATCTGTCAATCTATGCCTTTCAGGAAGTGTGTAAGGTTCTTGAATTTCCTAGCTCAATCATGTTGCTCATTAAAGGAGCTAAGCTTTTGGGGAGAGGAAAAATTAAATTTTTATTGTTGAAATTACCATCACTAAGTAGATTAAAGCTTCTTTGGGTCCCAAATTGAGGAAAATATCTGGCCCATTAATTACAATGATGAAAACTAAGACTATTAGTTAAAGTTTATTTTGATTAGATTAGCAAACTTTCCTGTTTCCTCCCACAGCCAGATTAGTCCAAGCAATTTAGGAAAAACAGCAATTATCTTAATCTTCCAACTGTTCAGACAGAGTCCTTCTTTCCATTCCCTGTATCCCTTTTTCTTGGACGCTTAAAAATTGTATGAAATTTGTTACAGTGTTCCAAAGTAACTCTTTAGTTATATTAACACTTTTTATTTACTTATCAGTATAAAGCTCCTTTGAACATTTTTCAAAGTACGAGAAAAAGGAAAATTAGAAATCCTTTCTTTAAAAGAAATATAACAAATGTGCTTTTTAATGAATTTACTAAGAATAGAGTGATAGTCTTATGAAACGTCAAATATTCAGAAAAAGAGAAAACTGCAAGATATTAAAACTTGCCAAATAGAGTGACTGTCTTACTGATTTGTTGGTATGTACACAAATTTGGATTATCCTGTATTTGAAAACTTGACATCCGGAACATCTAGTAGTGGCTAGCGATGCCCCTCCCATTTACCACAGTGGTTAGTCCAATGATGTACACAGTTATAATTGAGCAGCCACTTGTAGGGAGGCCCAAGTTCACACTTTCCCCTCATACATAGTCAACCACGTAGCTTGACACAGGGGCCAATTTTCATGAGAAACCAGCCTTGATGCTTATTTAGGGGGTCAGGGGTTGCCCTTAAATTGTTCACTTCAACATGTTGAAGGCCTAACAAATGTGCACAGATGAACTAGTCTGTTAGGATTCCTTTGTCGTGGGCCTGATATGAGAAGTTGTCTTTGCTGTGGAATTAGGAACTGACATGAGACGCAGATCTAGTAGCAGAGAGGAAGATGAGGAGGAATTTCTGAGACGCCGGCAGCTTCAAGAAGAACAATTGATGAAGGTTTGTCCTTAATCTACCTTGCTGTGGTCTTTGGGTCTAGCTCTCTAAGATCAGTATAAGCAAGCAAGATGAGAAGGAGGTGGTCCCAGCCCTCAAGGAGCTTGTAGTCTGGCAGGTGAGACACGACAGGCATTCAGTAATGAGAATAGGAAGGAATTTGCCTGGCTTTAGAGGAGATGTCACTGAGGCTGGAGGTCAGGGGGACACGGCAAGGATTGAGTGTGTAGGGTGCCTGTGCTGGCTAGAGCAAGGTGGTACCCAGCCCGGGTATGCGGGACCTGCTGGAGGAATTCCCTCGGGCTGGTGCATTTCTCCAAGTCTATCCTTGGGACTCAGGGCTTTGCGTGTGTGTCAGGACCAGGAGAACAGGGATGGAGGGGACTGCCACCAAGACACCCCCAGCATATCCTCCTGCCTTTCAGCATCCCCAAAAGATAACCATTTATAACCTCTTCCCATCAATGGGGCTGATGAATCCCCTGGAGTGATGCTTTCCAGAGATTACAAATGCACATGGCATTAATTATATGGGAAGAAAGGATACAAAGTACAATGCCAGTTTTGTATAAATACGTATAATAAGTGGATATAAGTCAAAATGCAAATGGTGTTATCTCTGGGTGGTAGACTACAGGTTCTTTTTCTGGATTTTGTAAAATACATACAAGGAGCATATATTCCTTGTCTTTGTTTTGCTTTGTTTTTAAACAAATCGGTGTAATTTCTTTTTTAAGGATGCCATTCCCAGTCTCCATGTCCCCAATTAAAAATCCATAAACACTCACACATGCCCTCTCAGGTCTCAGGCTGGCAATTTGGGGGAGGGAAAAGAAAGAGAAAACATCCCTCAGACACAGAGCCTGGCTTGGGGAAAGGGAGCTTTGACAGGGAGAAGCCAAGAGGGGTTTAAGGCCCCCAAGCTGACCCGAGACTTGAAGAACCACCACGCTGTGGGCCTGTGTTCTGGCTCTCAGGGTCAGGAACTTCCTATAAGACCTTCTTAAAAAACTATAGTCCTAAATGTATAATAGGTAATGTGAAATAGAAAGAAAAGGGGTAAAGGGGAAGGAAGTGGGAGGGCTAGGGGAAAGGATAGAAGGGAATGGGATTAATATGAGAAAATGGAAAAATAGGAACAAAATCTTTGTAAATAGGAATGGAGGGGTTGAAGGGAGGGCTGGGCAAGGGTGAAAAATAAGAACCAAGAGGGACTATGTAAAGGTGCAAATTTCCAATGATAAATGTCCTTATATTGTATACCTAAAATGTACCAATGATTAGAATGAATAATCGATAATGCAAAATAGGAAGAAAAGGTCCAAAGGGGTAGGGGTAGTGGGAGGGGCAGGGGAAAGGAAAGAAGGGAAAGGAAAAATGATGAGAAATGGAAAAAATGGAAATAAAGTCTTTGTAAATAGGGAAGGGTGGAGGGGGTGAAGGGAGGGCTAGGAATGGGAAAAAAGTAAGAACCAAGATCCATTCCGTAAAGGTACAATTCCCAATGAGAAATGTAATTGTGTTGTATACCTACAATGTACCAATAAAAGAATTTAATATATATATAAAAAACAAAACTATAGTCCTAGGGCCGAGGATGTAGCTCAGTGGCACCATGCCTGCCTCACAAGCTCAAGGCCTTGAGTTTGATCCCCAGTACCAGTGGGGGAAAAAAACTATAGTCCTGTGAAAGTGATTGCAGGCTTTGCTTTCATTTTTCTTTTTCTTTTTTTCCTTTTTTTTTTTATTGGCTAGCTTAACTCAGGCCTGGGGCAGTTGATCCTGAAGGAGGAGATGGAAAAGGAGAGCCGGGAGAGGGCCTACCTGTCCACCAGTCGCTACGACTCTCCTATCCACTCAGGTGAGTGGCGGGCCCTGCGTTGCCCAAGCTGAGAGCCTGCCAGGCCTGTGACAAAAGAAGCAGGACCACTTACGGAGGTTTACTAATCTCCAGAGCGCCTTCTGATTCTGAGAGACTGTTCTGTATACACACATAGGTCAACAAATGAAAGCTTCAAAAAGATTAAAGATTTAGAGGTACTAAGTTGCACAACCAGAATTCAAGCTCAGGTCTGCTAATCCCAACAGCCTGTCATGCTTCTGTGCCCTACAACAGGCCTCCGGGAGCCTGCTGTGGTTGATAACTCACCCAGTGGCCTCCTGATGGGTCACTTACTGCTGCCATGCTTCAGGCATCGGGCTTATGCATTCACATAGGCCTGGGTTCAGTCCTCGCCAGGCTGTTTAGAATTGACTGACCTCCCTTTTACAGAGGAAGAAATAGAAGTTCCTTGAAGTATCCTACCAAATGGAAATAATAATAGTATTATTAGAGTTTGTATTGAGAATCCAAAGAGGTAAAGCATGCCAGCTGCTTAGATGCATGCTGGGATTGTAGGAAGCACAGCTAGCAGAGTCCCAGCTGTGATGTGTGTCCTATCCCTGTCCCTCCTCAGCAAAATTAGTTAGGTACCATTCCCTGCATCCCCCAAATATGGCGGTAGCACTTGTGACCATTTGAGCCCGATGTGAATTGAATTGTTTGTGTTAAATCTTCTCTTCTGCAAAGGAAGCAGGTATGATTCCAATTTCTTGAAAGAATTGGACTTCTGATTTCCTAACAGTTGCTCTTAAAAAAAAAAAACTTTTTCTCATTCAGCTTTACATGCTCCATCATCAAAAACCTCATCTCTCCCTGGCTATGGAAGAAATGGACTTCACCGGGTAAGAATTCTCTTCGATTGATTGTTTCTACATTACTCCTTCCTCAGTCCTGCTTGAAGTTCTGCCATACTGTCTAAGTACATGGGACTCTTGGTCTCAGTGTTGGCCTACAGTGAAAACTGTAGTCTCCCCAATCACCTGGTAAATCACTTCAAGTTACCGGCAAAGTAAAATATTTCTATTAAGAGAAGAAGACTTTATTCACTTTAAATAAATGAATGGCCTGTGTAAGCTTAATAGGAAACTAGATTCAGCAATACTGTGGCAAATATTTTTACAGTGAAACAAAAAACAATCATTTGATTTATTGTCTCTGTTTAAAAATAAAGTTTATTGCAATTGTCTTCTTTCCAAGGTATAGAACAAATGTAATCACGTAACTCATAAGAAATGTATTTTTATTTATGAAGAAGAGATAGATAGAATCTGTGGGCAGAGGCAACAGAGGTACTACAAAAGACAAATTTCATAGTTATAGAAAAATAAATAGGGAAGAAAAAGAAAAATGAAGATCCAGGAATTTAGCCTGGGAAGGATTCTTAGGATTTTAAGTCCGTTCCTCCTTTTTACCTGACTCCAAAATGATGGCCATGAAGATTTGGTAACACTGCTTTTCTTCATTTCAGCCCGTTTCCACAGACTTTGCTCAGTATAACAGCTATGGGGACGTCAGCGGGGGCATGCGAGGTGAGGCCCCAGGGCTGGGCTGGCCATGGTGCGCCTTCCCGAGCCTGAGGCTCACAGGAGGCCACATAATCACAGGTGCATTGCCTGTTCACGATGTGTTGCGTCTGACGGCTCCCGTGAGCTGGTGGAGCAATCACTGAAATCCCAGAGGATCTTTAATGGAACAAAGCCCTGAGAAGCTTATCCGCTCATTGCTCCTCCTGTGTGCTGCATACTCTCTGTTAGACACCTGGAGGGGCCGCCATGAGCCCGACACGACCCCTGCCCTCAAAATACATAAGAGATTACAAAATACAAAAGACATATTGCCATTAATCCCTCTCAGCTTATTCCCCCTTGCTTCGAACACACCTATCCCACTTTCTAGGGAGTTCTGGAACCCTCTTTCATGAGCATCTTTAGTTGCACTATTCTGTCTGCCCCCATGTCCTGAGTAGATTCAAAATGTCTACCTCTCATGGACCCTTTAAATTTTATTTTTATTAATACATATTTGCGCTACATAATTGTTACGTTTATCATGGGGTGTTTTGACTTTGAGAAAGAGTCAGAAGTCACAAGGTTCCAGATCTGGTGAATATGGTAGATAAGGGCATGGTATAATGTTTTTCCTTGACAGAAATTGCTATAAGCAGCTATTTAATGCAATATGATAAAAAATACAGTAAATGTTTAAGTTAAAATTTTACAGTAAAAGATGCATTGCCACCAATCCCCCTCAAAATACTGTCCTTGCTTCAGATACACAAACTATTTTAGCTGGGCATGGTAGCATGTGCCTGTAATCCCAGCACTTAGGCTGAGGCAGGAGGATCACCTCAACTTCAAGGCCAGCCTGGGCTACATAATGAGTTCAAGGCCAGCCTGAACTACATAGTGAGACCCTGTCTCAAAACTGCCAACCCCCAAAAAGTCACTGTATTGTTGATCACCTTGTCTGACAAGGAGAGAGAAAAGAAGATGTTTTAACTGATACCCAAAGCTGGTGCAGGGTTTCCTGGCTCCAGGGAGGCTGGTGGTACTGACTGAGGATGGAGAGTGTGGCTCTCTGGGGGACATCATGGGACTTGTAGTCATAGAATATAGGCTCTCTGTTAATAGTTCCATGTCTCCCCATGGTCCATCCTTATGATACTTTCTTTTCCTTTTCTTTCCAGACTACCAGGTATGAATACTTTGTCTTTCTGGAGCTAGCCACACCAGCGCAATGGCCATGTGCCAGTCCAGGCTGCTTGCTGCGGGGGAGAGATTTCTGCTGAGAAGATGCGTGTTGTGGTTGATCTTTCATCACAGCTCCATATCATACAGAGCAGGCATGCCTGGTGCCTGCATCACACTGTCCCTGTGTCCCAGGGACAGCACGAGCAGGCCGAGGGTGGGAGACTGTCTCGCTGTGGCTTAGAGGAGCTTTCCAAGGAGGAAGTAGACCAGCATCGCGGATCTGCCTGTGTGCAGTTTATTTGAACTTTTAAAAATTTTGTATAACTTTTCAGTGTTTTTATCCTCTCTTTTCCTGCCTGTTCCAAGAAGAAAACTAAAGTTAGGTGTTGGCCGATAGGAAGGAACAGTTTTCTCTTGTGTGCACATGTGTGCATAGTGTGCTAGGGATGGAACTCAGGGCCTCACAGGTGGTGGCAGATGCTCTAGCACTGAGCTACACTCCCACCTTGCAGCCAAAAGCTTATAAAACTAATGGGAAATGAGAAAGAGAAAAATGCAAAGAAAAATTAAATGTAAAATAATAACAGGCTGGGCAGTTTTTCACATACTATGTACTCTCAGACTTGCAGCTGAAATTCAGGAGTTTAAGCCACAGTTATCAAGTTGGGAATTTTTTTCCCCCAACTTGATTACAGAAGAACAGTATTCCCTCTCTTATTCATTAAGGATCTCATTTTGAAAAATACATGGCAATGAACATGACAGGTCGATAAAATGATGGTGAAGATTCAGATACAAAGGGGATGTTTGGGAGCCCACAAAGCCCTCCCTTGAGATCCCTGCTATTTGGTTCTTGTCCCTGAGCCGGCATTTCTATTGCAGACCCTCCCGGATGGCCACATGCCTGCAATGAGAATGGACCGAGGAGTGTCCATGCCCAATATGTTGGAACCAAAGGCAAGTGCAGCTGCTTTTTTCCCCTTATGTTGGAATGACGCAGCCCTAAGAAGACTTAATTTCCTACCTTTCACCATGCTCTGAGTGTGAGGCCCGTTTTTTCTAGGCTGGTACATTCAGACAAACCATATCATAAAGCATCTTAACAGTTTACTGTTTTGCCACATTAAGTCTGCAGGTCAGGCCTATAGTATACATGGCACTGTATTGACCAGCACCTCTCTCCTTATGATCTAGGTGTCACCTTGACACCCTCCCATGTGTCCTGTAAGGCATGTCTATTGCTGAGTGGAATAGCTACAGACTGCTGAGGTAGGGGGGACCAATGTGTCACCTTTGCCAGGAGTCATGTACCCCCAGAACCTTCTTAGTACTGGGCAAACAGGGATGGCTGATCACCCTAGCTCCAGAACATTTTGTACCTCTGGAGGTGTTCAAGGGCTTTTGCTCCCTGGTGACCATAACCAGGGCTTATTTCAGTGTGTCAGCTGCCTACACTCTGCTTCTGGGGCCTACCTAGCTACTTGGAGTCAGGAGCCATTCATGAACCAAGATTGTTGAACCACAAAGGTCTCCTGCCATTTAACAGCATGATATAAGAGACAGCGTGTGCACCTGTAACTTCAGTTCTCTTCTGACTTTTGTCATTCATAGTAAGTTAGTGCTCTGTACTCAGCAAAGCCCTCCCAGGGCACAGTGCTGCAGGAGACACTGGTAGAAAGTTGGGGATAGATGGGAAAGAAAGAATCTGTCCCTGTCCCCTGGACACTGGAGCTTCTTTTGGTCCTCAGGAGGAATACCTTCTACTCAGATGCTGCCTTGATAAGCTCTCATAAGCTCTGTCTTGGAAATACCAGATTTGAGGTAGGCTCTGCTTATTCCTAATGTTCAAGAGATGTTTTCTTTCCTTCTCAGATATTTCCATACGAGATGCTCATGGTGACCAACAGAGGGCGCAACAAAATCCTAAGAGATGTAGACAGAACCCGACTGGAGGTAAAAACAAAAATCCATATCCAGCTGCAGATCTATCAATCTCAAATTGTAGGCAGAACAAAGAGGGAACTCAGACCTCAGAGGATCTCTAATGAGATAAAACCATGGGACACCAGGCGTGCTGGCACACACCTGTAATCTCAGCACTCAGGCAGGGTGAGGCAGGAGGATCCCAAGTTCAAGGCCAGCCTGGACAATTTAGCAACTTAGTAAGACCCTGCGAAAAATGAAAAGGGACTGAGGATGTAGCTCGGTATGAAGGCCCTGGGTTTCATCTCCAGTACTGCCAAAAACAAACACCATGAGAAGCAAGTTTGTAAGCATTCATTCACTGCTGTTATTCTGTTAATACTTGGACATACATAAGAAACCAGACACCCTCCTTGCTCTCAGAAATGCATATGGTGAGGAGAGAGAGCACAGAGGATGTTTGACCTCTACACTGAGGCAGGCATTTCCTGGCTTCGGCCAGGCCAAGTAGTACAGGATTTAGATTTGAATTTATTTACATATATTAGTATTTAAAATCCCTACTAATATTTTTTAAAATGACCCTGGAGACACAGTGTGATTTTGGCCATGGACTTTAGAAATAGGACACGGCCATAATTAGAGCTGGGGGTGCACATGGGAGTCGTCAGATATTCCCGGATTTCTGTCTCTCTCTCAGCCTGGGTTGAGTCCAGGAGGGGAGGGGAGGAGCTCTCCAGAAGGAGGCGTGTAGTGAGCAGGTGTCTTTCTTTGGTTGTTTCTGCATTCCATGCTGAGGGTTTTCTGGGTACACATACCCCAGGCTCCTTAGACATGGAAGACTGATCTTGGTACTTTTCCATCCAAATGATTATAATTAAGAAAAATCCTGGCTGCAAGTCTCAGGAAGAAGCATTACTGTTCCCTGACGAAAGGCAATGCCTCTGCATCAGAGGTCAGGCTGGCTCCAAGAATACTGGCCCAAGAGCCCTAAAGGAACTTTTCCTAGGGGAAGTGACAGTGACACCCACCTTTCCCCCTGTTGCTGAGCCAGGAAGCAGCCCTGAGCTCCTGAGACCACTTTGGAAGTCTGTCTCTCCTTGACTTTCTATTGCTGTGGTCCCTTTTCTCTGCATCTTCAACATCCCGAGCACCCGGGGTTGCCTCACCATGATAAATCACCTTCCTGGTCCCCCGTCATTGTTCGCTGGTGTGACACTGAACTGTAGCCATGTTGTTAGTCTTCTACAGCTCTTTGATCTGGAGAGGACGACTCCACCCCTATCTATGCTTGGTAACAAGCATCAGACCCCCTCTCCTGTCATTCTGCTTTGCTCTTCAAAATACTGATTGTGTTCCTGCATATCTGCAGGGGACTGATTCGAGGATCTCCATTCAGATCCTAAAATCTATGGATTCCCAAATCCCTTATATAAAATAAAGCAATCGTTGCATATTACCTTCACATATCCTTCTACATACATTAAATCATCTCATATTAATTATAATAACAGGTACAATGTAACTGCAGTATAAGTAGTTGTATTGTGTAGGGGAAAATGACAAAGGAAAAGTTTATACATATGCTGTACAGGTGCAATTTTTTTGGCAGGGAGAATATTTGTGATCCACTATTGGTTGAATCCGAGGATGGGGAGCTCACCCATATGGAGGGCCCCTGTATTTGGGAGAGCAGCTCTCCAAGGCCATCTATGTGGCCATCAGGACTGACCTCTGCTCTGTTCTGTCTTCCCAGCGCCACTTAGCCCCAGAAGTGTTTCGGGAAATCTTTGGGATGTCCATACAGGAGTTTGACAAGTTACCTCTTTGGAGACGCAACGACATGAAGAAAAAAGCAAAACTCTTCTAAGTCCTGCACATACATGGCAGTTAGCAAAAAAAGGACTGTCAAGGCAGCAATGCCTAGGATGTGTTTTAAGGCCCAACCTTGATTGGAGAATTTACAAACTCCCATCTCTCAGCAACAACAAAAAGGGAAAGTCTGGTCACAACACCAACCCGTGAGCCAAACATTGGGCCAACCAGTGGTAACACTGGCCAAGCAGCAATGGGTTAGGGATTTCTATGTCCCAAAACTTAGCAGTAGTGTCCACATGTGACCTTTTTACATGACCTTGTTCCACAACAGGAGCTTCCTCTTTCCCCTTTTGTTTTCCTGTAACTGTTGTCCAACGTAGTGCTGACTGTACTGATACGAGCCAGCAAGTGCCCTTAGGATGCTGCTCGGGAAGAAGGAGTGTGCTAATTCCAAAGTGTAACTGTATTTATTATGTAGCACTGCGCTGGGGAGGAGGAATCGGAGGAGTGAGGAGTCCATACTGTTTTCTACCCACCTTTTGTTGCCAGCCTCAGCAGTGCCTGTGCTTGAGCTGACATGGAAATCAGGAAGGGAACCAGACAGCTCTGATCAAGTAGATGACTATTGGGAAAAACCATTTTTGACAAACTCCTTGTTCTCTCCCGTTTGCTGGGAACAGGCTGGCTAATTGCTTGGCCATTAGTCAAATTTTTTTTTTTTTCTTTTTGGTACTGGGGATTGAACTCAGGTCTTTGAGCTTGCCAGGCAGGCGGCGGAACCACTGAGCTAAATCCCCAGCCCTCATTAGTCAAATTTTTATAGGAGAAAAGAAAAGGAAAAGGAATGATGGAAACCATCCTGGAGTTCTTTCCTGTTTCAGGTAGTGTGCTGAATCCTTCCTCCCCATTAAGGACAGGAGCTGGCTTGGGTGCCACCTTTGCAAAGAAAGGACAGACAAACTATCTCCAGTGGCCTGGCTGCATGCTGCTGGTGATTTTTGTCCATGGATCCTGTCAGTCTTAGAAAAAAAAAATTAATGTCCTGTCACCAACCCAAGCTCTTCTACTCTGTGTCCCTTGCTCTGTCCAGCATCCTATGAATCAGATCAAGCCCATACTGATTTTCTTCAGTAACAGGCTAAGGAAAGGCACGTTTTTCTCTTAAATCCCTGCAACTCCAAAGTAGACTGCATCAAACAGATTTATTTTGCCCAGCACTGTTAACATCATGGAGTGGAGATATGTGTTTGTGTGTGTGTGTGCACGTGTAGACATGAGCGTGTAACTCACCCGGGGCAGTCTTGTGAGTCTGCATGTGTTTTATAATTTCTGCTTGAATGTCACACTGTGCTGCTGCTTCTAAAGGACATTCACACAAGTGCATGTGACTCGAACATCAAGAATGAGGCTAGGCTCTGCCCCCAATGTCACCTCCTCTGTGGGGAAGGTGTTGGTCCTAGGAAGCCAGCGTATCCATGTGCTGGGGCAGCTCCTGGTGGGATTGGGCTGGTTTGGAGCTCAGAGCATCACACTGGAGCCCTCGTACTCCACAACTCTCAATTCAAATTGGAGCCTCTTTCTCACTAAAGTGTGCAAGTAAGACCACATTGTGAGGCCTGGTGTGAGTTGGATAAGGGAAAATCTCTAAGGTGCAATCGCATTTGTTCTCATACTTTGAAGCTGTGCTTAAGAGTTTAAGCTCTTTGTTAAAGCCAAAGGAGAAAGCTTTTGAATTCACCTGCAAAGTCCTCTGAGAAAAGAAGCTCAGAGATTCTTCCCACTGCACCAAGGACTAGGATTACCAGCCATCCACCTGACCCCAGTGGTAAGGAGCAAGCTGCATAGTTTCGGAGCCTGTGCTGCAGCCCTTGGACTTGTGGCACTTCTGCCCATTAGGTTTGAGGGCAGTGGTGAATGCTGTGGTTGCTTTAAGTATTCTTCTGTGCTCTTATGGAAGGAATCTGAGTTTGAGAACTACTCTCACAAATCCAAGTAGGGGCTATGTGTTGGACTCATGGACATATTCAGCAGGTGGCTCTGACAGAATGGGCCTGAGCAAAGAGACTGGCTTCCACCTGGTCGGAGGCAGCCTGCTGTCTTCCCCTGCAGGCCTTAGTTACCTCTCACTTTCCTGTGTTTTCACTGTCCTTTCTCTCTGCACAAAGCCTGTACATCGCAGTTCTTGCTTTGCCCTGGCAGAGTGTAGAGATGGGGACTATGGTGGATTCAGTGTCCCCCACCATAGTGACTAACTGGTGGCCACGTGGGTCCCAGCACTTGGCTGATGGAGAGGATATTTTTCCTTATGGCGATAGTAAAGAACCCGCCTGTTTGCCTTTGGTTAATGAGCCCTCACCCATAAACATGCAATCACATTGCCAGGGTGAGACAAATGAAGGTTCTTCCAAGGATGGATGCAATCAGATGGGGTGGCCCAGTTCTTGCTTTTCTGCAGAAGGACATGGCTTTGTCACAGAGTAGGAAAATCAGACAAAGAAGGGACAACCCTCTTTATGTCAGAGACTCAGAAAGAAGGGCCTGCCTAAGGTTGCAGTGCCAGTTAAAGAACTGGACTCTATTCTGCTCCCATTAAAGAAACCCTGCCTTTCTTGTATCTTTTGAACTCAGTTCTGTAACTGGCTTAAAATTTTTGATAAAGCTGCTTTCCATATAAAGTTCATTTAAACTACACTGTGCGGAAATGCAATTTCTACAACACATCAGTGGCCTCCCGTCTACAAGCAGAGTAATGCTCTGCCCTGGGGAGGGGCTGCTGGAGACGTTACCTGGAGTGCACCCCCCTCCCAGGAGAAGGCTCCAGCTGGAAGGATGGTCAGGGATCTGTCTGGTTCTGACTGGCCAGCCCAGGGCATGGGTGGTTACGGTGCCCTCTCCATTTTATTAAACTAGGCTCAGCATCCTTGACCTCAAAATGTTGAGGCCATAGCACAGGAGAGGTGCTTAACCCTCCTGTTACGCTCTGCTTAACCCTCCCCTGTATTTCACTGGAAAATGTGAACTGTTAACACAATTCAAGTCGCTTGTTCACTGTAGAAAAAGAATTACATACGCGGCAGGCTCGATGCCTATATTAAGGGCTACATTTTCAAGCATTTGACTTACAACTTGAAGTGCATATTAATTGCCTGAGGTAGAAGAGGCCTCTATGACAATGAGAGTTCGTGCTTCCTTTAAGATGTCTTCAAGGAAGTCATGTGTTCTTCCCGTGTGATTTATTAGGAGATACGAAGAGCATCTGGAAACCTGTACAGCTAGCTATGCATTTCAGTTTTGGTTTGGGGGTTGTTATGAAATGTTTTTAATATAACTTCTTCATTAATTAAACACAAACTGCCTGTTCTCTGAAACCACGAAGAGAAAAACTAAAGTTGATGGATAATAAGGTGCAAAAAAAAGAAAAAAACTAGGGATAGTTTTCTATCTGCACTCTCCTCTATTCTCCCTCAACCCTAACCCTGCTGCCCCCAGGCTGAGTCCTCTCTTCTGAGCCACAGGCTGGAGGAGTTTTCTCTCCCAACCATCACCTCTCCCATCTTAGTCGGTATCAGTCACCTGTAACTCAGAGAAGTGCAGCTGGTAATGTTTCTAAAACTCTGACCTGATTTCTTTATACTTTGAAGCAGGCATCTTTTTCTAAGAATTGCTTCTCAGATGATGATAGAAAATACATATGCTTTTGCAAGTTTAAAAGAATTCAAATTAACAATTTCTGATTAGGTGAGTCTTTCTAAAAAATTACTTAGTGCAAACTTAGCATTGGCATTCTGGGGTGGGGGGGACAAGCCTGGCCCCAGCGTGGGCACTCGCTCCCAGCCCTGTTTCTGGCCATCAGAATGATGGTAGGAGGGAAATGAACTCTGTCGCATCCACCCTTCTGTGTCCTGAAGCAAGTTCAGATTTTAAATCGCTTTGTCTATATTTCTGGTAGCTATTTAATCTGTACTTCCTGTGCCAGCCTTGATTTTATTTGATTTTCAAAATTATTTTCTTTTGACAAACCGAGTATTTATTTATGTGCCCTGAAGTTTGTCCTTTAATGCTTCCTTTTGAAGAACATTTCTGTCCAGAAAAAGAGATTATTTGGGGCTTAAGATTTGCAGTGATATCATCCCTGATAATGTACATTGAGGGAACTAACCAACTAACTACACTGTGACTCAAGGAAGAGAAAGCTTTACTTCGGGATTTAAAAAAAAAATTACAGTATCTTTCCATTTGCTACTCAGGAAGCAGAGGGAGATGGTGACAGATATGCTTTGCATATGGATTGTTATATTTTCATTTGGGTAGGTTTTTGGCAAACTCAGAAAGGGGGAGGTGGTCACTTTAAGTTGAAACTTTTTAAACAGTGAATGTATACACAATAGAATTAAATCCAATGTTTTCTGAAGCTTAGTGTAATTGAGTGCTAGTTATCATTAAATAAAACTCATCCCAAAGTGTCCCTCCCGAGAGTGAGGTTCCCATGAGTAAATTCCTGAGCCCTTCAGTGGGAGATGGAAGGAGACAGCACTGTGTACCCTAACGTGTAGATAGGCCGAGGCCGCTGCCCGACTGTGTATGCATATGTTTCCTTGCCCTGCGGAAGAGGAAAGACTTGTCCCCAAAACTCATGTTCCTTTTGGGTTTTGTGTACAGACTTGTCCAGTAATAAATGTGAGTGGTTTCCATGTGTTGCCATCGACTCTGCATTGAAGATCTCTGGAGTTCTTTCATTTTGAGCTGGGTTTATGGAGTTTTCTTTCCAACCGGTGACAGGCATACAGCCTTCCTGGCCTCCCTCCCCTTTCAGACATAGGAAAGCAAATGTTTAGAAGAAACCTTGAGAAGCTACGCCTTGTTCCCTGTGAACCTGAGCGAGTGCGTGTCTGTACCTGAGGACCTTGTGCTTGTGTGTGGCAGAGTGGGTGGCCTGCCGGTTCCCATGTTGCTGAGCTGCGCAGTTCCTGGCCTGCTCCACTCTGGATCGCTGTCCCACTCACAACCTGGTGAATAAAGCTGTGTGCTTCATTCGCAGGCTCCTCCATGGCTGCTTCGTTTCTTGTTCCCAGGCACCTTTTGACGGTCTCTCCCGCTTTTGAAACTACCCACCTAGCTTCCAAGAACCAAACCAAGATCAGAATGAAACTGAAGCCTTGGGAATCCATATTTATCTTGTAGGTGGCAGGAGAGCGGGTGTGCGTGCACACAACAAATGACAGTATTTTCCAACACTGTCCTGCAATACAGACCACAATGACCAAGTTGAGGAGAGGAAATAAATTCTGAGTAGAGCTCTTTCTTACGCTGTGCTGGTTGTTAACCAATGTCAGTTCTATTTGTGACACAGCAGTGACAGTCTCAGCATTTGGACCAAACTGGGGATCTGGAGAGGCTTGGGGACAAGAGCTTCTGAGCCACCGTGAGTGTGGACCATCCCGGTAAGGAGCTGCAGCACAAGAGGAAAGCATCTTGGGATATCGGACTTCCTCTGCACTCTTGACCTTTACACCAAGAAAATCTAGTTTTCACTTACCTGCACTGCCAGAATTTTGGGCTTGCCAGAAAAGGCAAGGGTCTGGTCTCAAGATGGCCTGCAGTGGCCAGGACCTTCATCCTACTCTGTCTAGTGTGGGCAGTCACACTGGCGTTTCCGGGGTCCCCCGCCCAGAAGCCTGACGTGGGTCGTTCTGTGGAAAGTGGCATCTTCGCTGTGCTACTGTGGGAAACAGTTCATTCAGGAGGCCGTGGCTCCTCATTCTTTCTCTCTGTCACCTCTGCCTCCATTAGCACCAGCACTGGCCCCTACCTTCCCCAGCCCGGTTATGTTTAGCCCTTCTCTCTAGCTCCCTGTGGCCTTAGGTTCTGGGGTTACCTTTCCACTGGCAGATGACTCTGCCCCTGTAGCCAGCCCTCTTCAGGAGTCCAAGGACCTTCACGATTGGCCCCAACTCACTGCCCAGCTTCCCCTCCCTCCCAGCTCTGCCTTTGGCTTTCACCCTCTGCTTCTTCCAGACCACTGCAACTTCCCCAGACATACCAGGTCCCTCCCTGCTGCCACAACATCTCCTCTAGACAATGCCCAGCTCTTCAAGGAGCTGGACACCAGAGTGGAGTCTGGCCTCAGGGAGAGGAGGTCATGGAGAATGTTGACTCTAAAAGCAGTTTTTGGAGCTACCCACGGGAATTTCTCATGGGCTGCCTTGGCCCTAAATCAAAGACAAGCCCACACTCACACCCTTCCTCTGAACCTGTCTGGATGGCCCAGCCAACCTGCCCCAGCAGATTCTTCACCTGCTTATGATTGAACCCCACATTTGGTGCTGAGCAAGGGTTACCCGGTACTACTAGCTCCGTGTGTGTTTCTGCTTTACAGTTGAGCTCTATGTTCAGTGCCAGGCAGCGTAGCTTTGTACTAACGCATCTCTTAGGGCATCTCCCAGGCAGGTAATTGTGGCTCAGCCATGCAGCTAAGGGACGCAAAGCTCAGAGGCTCATCAAATGTGCCGATGACTCAGCCTGTCAGCGACAGAAGTGGGGCTGTCTAGGTCTGTCCCTTTCAAATACCATGTTTTCCTCCAAGTCCCACCGCCTTTGACCTTGCGAGGACAGGATTGTGTCCCAGTCTAAGCCTCCCAGGGCCAGTTCTATTAGTCTGCCATGAGCTCCATTACTACCACTAAGGGACAGTTTGGAACAATGGCCAGGACGTCACTCACTAGCTTTGTCTCGGGGCCAGTTATTTAGAGTCTCTAAGTCTCAATTAGCTCATCCGCAAAATGGACAAAATATCAATACCCACCAGAAGACTATTGTTAAATTATGATAATACATGCGGAACACTTAGCACAGTACCCAGCACATAGTAACTGCTCAAGAAATGTTAGTGATCTTTATGAAGAGCAATTAGCCGCTTAGACTTGAAGAACCATGTAAGCTGTCTGAGCCTGAGTGTCCTTACAGATAAATTCGGAATGGGTGCCCGCTTTGGCTGTGTTGAGCTGCTGAAGGCAAATGCAGTAAGAAAAGTGCTCAGAGGCAGGGAAGCTGTACAGTGATATCGTGGTGATGGCTTCTCATGTTTGATAGGGCGAGTAGCACTATTTTAAGTAATCAGTTGAGAGGCTGGGCATGTGGCTTAGTGGTGGAGCATTTGCCTAGCATGCGTGAGACCCTGGGTTCAGTCCCCAGCATTGCAAGAAAAAAATTACTTGAGAATTTTAGTTTTTTGTTCTGAGCATTTTCCCTTCTACAGTAACCCTTATATGAATACCCAAGCATTTAAACGAGCTCTCAGCCTCTTCTATCCCATTACAGCACTGTCCTTGTTCAGCAGTAGTCTGAGGTTGAGATCCCTGTCAATGTGCTGATTAACAGTAATAACCGAAAGCATTACACAGCAGCTGAGTGCTGGGCAGAGCGTCGAAGTCCCTGGGTTTGAGTCCCAGCTCCTCCAGTAACTAGCTACATAACTAGTGATGATCTGCTTTTCTAAGCCTCAATTTCCATTTCCATAAAAGAGGGATAATAATGCCTACTTCAAAGGGTTATTTTGAGACTCCCTGTAGAACAAGATCCAGCTTGATGCAAATGAGCCCTCAGATAGCCTTTATTAATAAAGCGGCCGCCATGTAATAAGGACTTGCTACTTGCCTGGCCCTGAGCTAAGCATATTATGGGGGTTTTTTTGTACACTTCCTTACATCGCTTATATTTTAGAATTAAGGAAATGACTCGGATTAAGTGTCTCAGACAAGATCTGCCTGCTGAGTGAAGTCTGAGGATTCAAACCCCATCTCCCAGCCCCAAGCTCCACCTTTGGGCAGGTGTCCAGAGCTGTGGCCAGCCAGGGTCACAGACTGCTCAGAACCAAAAATGCCAGCTTCCTAGGTGTGGCAGACTCCCTGCCCTACTCCAGGGAAAGAGCTGGGATTTGTTCCCATGAGGGATGGTGCTGGTTCTGGAAAGATGCTTCTGACTGTATGCCTCACTTGAAAGCAACCAAAGGCTCCACAGACAGAGCTGCCAGTCCAGAGTATTTGGGGACATTTCCTCAGCTCTGGAAAGCTACCACTGCAGCTCAGCACCCCCTTATCAGCCTCAGTTGCTGGAAGGGGCTCGACACGCCCACAGAGCCAGCCAGCCAGCCTTGCCTGGGTGTGTCCACTTGCCTGCCCTGTTGCTCAGGGCCCATTGTGGGCTGGAAGAACTAGGAAAGGTGGAGTCTTGGGGTTGGCAGCTTTTAGGAAAGCCCAGAGGGATGGACAGAACAGTGGCCAAAGCTTCAGGAAGTCTGGACCCCACCCTGAGGACCTGCTTCTGTACCTCCAAACTCCCTCCTGCCCAACCTGAGATGAGGACTCAGAGAAAAAATAATGTATCCCTCTCCTATGGGCCCAGGGTAGGCTGTAGCAGTGGAGGGGAGTGTACTGTGACCGCATTTCCTTTCCAGTCTCAACTGGATGAAAGTGGTCTCCAGGGCCTGCCATTGTCCTCAGCACAATGCCAGCCCCAAAGAGGATTTTCTGTATTTATTTGTGCTGTCTCCAGCTGCTACCTCTTACCTCAGCCTTTCCCATCAGATAAAAAGGAAAGTTGGCTTGGGAAATCCTCCCTGCCAAAGCAAGAGCCCTCCCAGAACACCCTAAGGGGCTTCGGCAGCTCAGAGCCTGGGGCGGCTTCCAGACCCAGAGCTAGTAGGACTCGGACTCAAGGGCTGATGATAAGAGGCTGGGATGATGGAAGTAGCCAGCAGCTTTTGAAGGTCATGAGGGTGCCAAATGCCAGATGCTGAGCTAAATCATCAATGCAGATTATTTCAGTCTGAAAAGGGTAAACCCAGCACTGACATGGGTAGTACTCTAGCCCCTGCCCATCAGGCCCAAATGGCACATTCTTTCTGCCTAAGACAGTCACAGGTCTTGGGTCTCCAGATGGCTAGCACGTGATTTTCTAAGAATTTGTCAAAAGGACTGTGTTTGCAGAGACAAATGCCAGCCTCTCAAGGTGGAGCCTGGCCATGAATAACAACACTTTGTTCTGCACTGGATAGATGCTGGCATGGAAAGAATAGGTCTTCTCGTTCCTGTTATTGTCTTAAAACCTATACTTCGTAATGAAAAGTTAGAAAGTTGATGGTGGTTACATTCCCATCAGATAATAGCAAAAGTCGTCTGGCTTCTAAAAAATAATTAGTATCCCTCCCCTCCCCCACATAAAAACAAAGCACTTCAGTCAGCTTGAACTGCTAGTATTAATAATTATTTTAATCATTGGCTTCCTCTGCACACAACACCTGCAGAGTCACGGCCTCTGATTCTCACAGACATCCTAGGTAAGTGTTATGACCTCTGATCCACAGGTGAGTGGTGTCTCCAATAAACCCTTAATGGAAGAACCAAGATTTGGGCACAGGTCTAACTGCAAAGCTCTTGTTTCAGTCTTCAAGGAAGTTTGGACTTGTTAGATCTGGATTGGGAGCTGGGAAGCTATATCTTACAACAAAATTTTAACATTTCTAGGTGCTTGGTACAGAGGCACATGCCTGTAATCCCCTCTACTCAGAATGTTGAGGCAGGAGAATCTTAAATTCCAAGATAGCCTGGGCAACATAGCGAGACCCTGTCCCAAATAAAGTGTTAAAAAGTGCTGGAGCTATGGTTCAGTAGTAGAGTGTTTGCCTAACATATGCGAAGCTTTGGTTTCAATCTTTAGCAA